TTTTTTTTTTTTTTTGGTAAATAATATACCTATATTTTATATGTATATATTTATATTATATTTTTCATAGGTACATTATTGGATATGTAATTTACAGATTTTTATTTTTATTTTTTGTAATTTTAAGGGGCGAGATGTGAGAGGGAATGACAACTAAAAGAAATGGGGTGGTTGATATGCTATTAATATGGAGTATATTAATTACAGTTATGGTAGTTAATGAAATGCTTGAAATAAATTAATATGAAGTTTGGTTGCAATGATGTAAAAACATAGAAATATTACAACCTCTTATATCATACTAGTCATTTAAATTTGAAATTGGGTTTTACACATAGATTTATAGAGTGATGGGTATATGTTTAGGAAATAGAAAATGTAGGGATCTATATTGGACAAGCTCTAAAATGTATAAGGAGTTGGTGTTAAAAGTGAAGAGTATTGGTTGGTATTTGTAGAAAAAAAGTTCAGTATTTTTTTAAATTTTTTTTGATTTTTTTTCATTTTTTCATTTGGGAAAAAATTGGCTGCCGTTGGATTGTTGGAAAAAAGGGGATCGGAGAGCCCAGAAGGAGCCACGTGGAAAAGAGCCGTTGGGGGGCAGTTTCGATTTTTTTTCATTTCTTTATTGGGGAAAAAATGGCTGCCGTTGGATTGCTGGAAAAAGTGGATCGGAGAGCCCAAAAGCCAGCCACGTGGAAGAGAGCCGTTGGGGGGCACTGTAGCGGTCGCGTCAAAATTTTTTTAATGTTAAAAAAATTTAAACTCCAGTGCTGACGTCACCCTTGCCCTCGGGCTGGAGCTCGTGCTAGCCCAGTTGGCTGGGCCCTACTTCTTGCCCTGGCAGATCTTTGTTGCTGGAAACACCATTTTGGACTTGCCCCCCCCCCCCAACCCTCCCCTTGGGCCTCTTGCTGGAAATGCTCTTATAGTTTGAGAGTTTTTTTCGTTGGCCTCCACCTTATATGAGCACAACCATGCCTATTTATAGGCTTTGATTGCCGACATACACAACCACCGACTTGGGCTTCTTCATTTCTTAGAGCATCTACAATGGGCTCCCTAAACCGCATTCTTAGACAAATTTTAGGGAGGGATCGTAAAAATGCAACTGTAATAACTGTAATAACGCATTCAAACCTTTATTTAATGTTAACTGTAATAACCCAAACTTTAATTAATATTTAACTATTACTTTATTAAGGAAAAATGACACTTTTGCCCTTAGACTATTTTAGTAATTGAGAAGTTGACTTTTTGACCGGAGAGGATTTTGGAAATTTTGTTTGCACCGTTGCGTAGAGCGCGACGAAACGAGTTCGTAGACATGCGGCACGCTCGATTCCGAGCTGTAACGAAAGAGGAAAGGTCTATAAACCAAAAGGACGTAATGGGAATTTTAAAATTGTCGGTGCTACAGTGTTGCTACAGTACCCGGGTCTATTTCTCCTTCTTCCTCGCGAGAGAGACCAGATTTTCTGGTTCTCTCTCTCTCTCCGCACACACTCATCTTCAAGCAACGATTTCGTCGCCATCCGAGGTCCGTTTTGAGTGAAATTTGTTGCAAAAGTTTCGTATCGTTGTGCTCTACCTAACCCAGCTCAGCTCCGACGCCAGCCGCAGCGAGATCACCGGAAAACTCGAAGAAAGTTGCCGGTTTTGACAGAATTTTCCAAGCTTACGTTCTCCCTCGATTCTCCACCAAATTGGACGAGTGAGGTATGGTTTTGCAGCTATTTTTCGTAACTTAGCTGCTGGTTGGGTTAGATTTCAGAAATTTTAAGCGTAGAGCGTTCGTTTTACAACTTAAGTTTCAGCCGGTTTTGAGGGTAAGATTCCGGCCACTTCCGGCCACTTTTTGGGGTAGGTCCAAGAACAAAAGTGGTTCCAAATTGGGTGTTTTATCTAAGTTAGGAGTTTGGGCAGGCGGTTTGGAGTTTTTCCGGCCGCCTGAAATTTCTCAAGCCACCCAAACTGCCGGCGCGTGTGGCGTCTGGTGGGGAGAATTCTCAGTTCCAGAATGATCCTAGTGTTCTCACGAGTGTGTAGAAATTCGCGGATCTCAATTCGGACGTCGTTTGAGTGTTAAGCGGACTTTTACATAGTATGCGTTATCCGGTT